ATTAAACAATGAAATCGACAGATGAAGGTGGTTTGCACGGTTTACACAAATGAGGGCGGTTTTCATATGATCACTCCTATATATATATATATATATATATATATATATATATATAGGGTTGGGTTCACGTGAGATCAAGAGTTTTTCATGAGACCTGTAAGATCAATTTATGTTCATTGATCAAATTTATAAACTAATAATCTAATGGTCTAAAGTTGCACGGTGACAATTTTGTGATTATTAAGAAGTCTCGTGATAATTTTGTGATTATGAATGTTTAGATTGTAGATTAAATCCAAGGTTTGAAAATTAATCTTATGGGTCTCATGAAAAACCTTTGGTCTCACATGATCCAAGTTTCTCATTCTCTCTCTCTCTCTCTCTCTCTATATATATATATATGGTATATTTTAAACACAATCATGTCTATTTGTACAATCAATTGAGATATTTATGGAAATGATAAGAGTTCATTTATTATGATTGAAATATTTATGGAAGATAACTAAAGTTAGTGAAAATATAATATGGACTCTAATCATGGTTTATTCATATAAAAAAGATGAAAACCCTATAAGATGTGGTTGCATTTGAGCCTCTGCTTCGACAATATCATCATTACAAAGTTGAAATAGCTAGGCAAATCAAAAGTGGAGAAATCTGGAGTCAAGAACAACAAAACAGAAAACAAAGAACAAAGGGAGCAAATAACCCATGCCTCAATGGAAGCTTGAACTAGGAAACAAAGAACAAATTCGAACCAGAACAACGAAACAACTTCCTGTGTTTCTTTTAGCTTCCTCCTCCTAAATATAAATATACAAACAACATGTTAACATAGTGGCATTTGGATCGAGGCTTGGTCAAATGGATAATCATTTGAATATCATTTGGCCTTCCACTAAGTTCATTCTTGATCTTCTTTGTTGCAGGAAGAAGAAGGTCCTCCTCGACAAGAGTGATAAAAACACCCTAAGGGTATGCTAGGCGAAGAAAACGCAGGTCTTAAAGGAAACCATATATGGATGATGATTAGCCCCTAACCTCTCAAAAAAAGTTTTTCCCGTCTATGCCAATGTCAAATCTAAGTATGACTAAAAAAAATATAAACCAGGTTAATTGTGTTTCCAAATATATTAAACACAATGCATATGGACAGATGAACATGAATTACCAGTGGAATAGACATCAAGAATGCTTGAATTTTCATTAGCCATGAGTGACTGATATGAAACAAAAGAACATGTGCACTGCATCAAAAAGATTAGACTTAACACCATGAATGAAAACACAAAAACTAATGGAAACCATTTATTCTTAAAAGAGATTTGAGAACTTAGTTACCTCATTGGTTAGAGGACTGTCATCAACAGATCAAATGATTAAATAGTTTAAACCCCTTTAAGATCAGAAGCAAGGGGTGATGGTTTGAATTAAATTCAATCTCAGGAACATAATAGTCTAACGATATAAAAGATATGTATTACGAAATTGTTAGTACGATTTCTAAGATTTACAATAGAAAAAAATGGTATGATTGTAGGTACAAAGATCAAACTGTTTACAAAAAGAAAATGGACATTAGAACTTGCAGAAAGATTAAACTGGAAAGGGTAAATCTAGCGTTCAACTTACCCTGTTGTGGTAGCACCAAACCCATTGAATGCTCTGGTAAGATTGGTGTTCGATTTACACCAAACCATTGTATTGCTTCAAGCCCTAAAACCCAAAACAAAGGGAGAAAATTAAAATTTCTTAACCCAAATTGTATTGCTTCAAACCCTAAAACCCAAAACAAGTGACAAAAAAATAAAATTTCTTAGCAGAAGAAGGCCATAAATGGGGAAGGGGAGACGATGAATCATCTTGAGAAAGGTATCGGGAGATGATGAATCATCGCGTCGGGAAGTATGAAAGGGGGAGGTCGATGAATAAGTGCACCTCGGAGAAATTTAAGCTTCAAATGAAGTTGATCATTCACATTTTGTAAAGGAGGGCCACATTCGTCTTTTGGTTTTCGATATTTGGGTATGACCTATCAGTTATTTTGAAGGTGTGTAGTTTCAATATATTTCTTATCAATGTGCACTAGTGAAGGTATGTAAAGTTTATTGAAACTTGATGGGATATATATGTCCAAATTTAGTTTTTCATATAAAACTATGTGAAATTTTGACATATTACTTATAAAACAGAACAGTGAAAATATGAGAAACAATAATGTAGGAAAAAACGAATTTAACAATTTTGGTATAGATTTCAACCACCAATATAAAAACAAGTAGAGGAGGAAATGACATTTTTAACCTCTCTTAAATAAGTACAAATAGTAGTTAGTTTAAGAAAGTAGAAATACGGTGTATAATGTGGCCAACTTAATAGTTCAAGGACCAAAGTTGTAATTGTAGAAGATAACACCACAAACACCCACTTGTACAAAGGCCGACTTCCCCCATCTAGGGACAAAAGGTCCCATTAATTTAATATGTATAATTATAAATAAAATATTAAATAAAAACAAAAGTTGATGTTAAAAGATAATGATATTTTTATAAATAAAATAAAAAAAACAAGAAATGACAATTTTACCCCTCTAGATACATGTTAATATTAGGTAGACCATCAAGAATACAAAATGTATCGTATTAGAATCTATAATACAATATTATTGAAACAAACGGGTAGTCAATGA